CGTGCCGGTGACCGGGTCGAGGCAGACGACCTTCCACGCTTTGGCGAGGCACTCCTCTTCCTTGGACGCCCATTTTATGCGTGGCTCGCCGGACTTGGCCGCCTTCTTCTTCTTCTTCTTGCCTTTCCTCGTCGGCGCCGGCTCCTCCTCCTCTTCTTCCTCCTCCTCCGGCTCTTCCTCGTCGTAGTCGAGCTCGTCGTCCATGTCGGCGAGGTCAATCGAGTCGTCCTGCACAGTGAACCCGGGGGAAGCGGCAGCGGCAGCCGAGCCGGCTGCGATGATGTCCTCCATGTCGGCCACCATCGTGTCGGCGTCGCCAAGATGAGATGAGGATGAGGCTTGTGAGTAGAGGCCACGGCGAAGAGGTGGCGTCGGTGGGGCTGCGTAGTCTGTCGGCGAGTACGTGTACGGCGGGTACTGCACGCCGGCGAACGCGGGCGAGGGCGTGCGCTGGACAGGGCGCCCATGGGGGAAGGTGATGTTGGGGTTGAAGCCACCATGGGCGTCCCCATCGGCATAGCCCGGCGATGGCGTACTCCATGGGTGCGGCGACGACGAGAACCCGGCCGGAGAGCCGACGCTTTGCTGGCTCCAGGCCGCGTACGGGTGCCCACCGGGTGGATTCATCATTGCCGCACGCGCCGCCTCCGCCTGTTCGGCCGCCTGCTCCGCCGCCGCCGCAGCCGCAGCGTGCGCCGCTTTTTTCCTGGCCTTCTTGGCCCTGTTGCGCCTGTCGGCGGTGACGACCTCCCCGCGCTCCACATCCACCTTCCACTCGGCGTTGCTCATGCCAGGGGGCTTGGACAGCGGAGCCCTCGGCTTCCTTTGCTTCGGCTGGGCGGCGGCGGCGGTGGGATCCGTCGCGGCGCGGGGCATCACGTACTTCTTCAGCGGCATGGCGGGCGGAAGGGCAGGGAGGAGGCGGGGGTTTGGCGGGAGGAATGGAGAAGAGAGGGGGGAGCGGGAGGAAACGGCAGGAAAAGGGCTTCCGGTTGCCGATAGAGCGAGCCCACGCCGCTTTTCGCTTGTGCCGGCGCGCCCAGG